CATAACAGTAAATCTTCTATTTTTTGGTGTGAATAAAAATTCATTATGTGAATAAAAAAATCAAAATGGAATTAATTTGTAAAGCCACAAACGTAACTAATGAACCGAGAAAGTTTTGTTTAGTGCCAGGAATGCCTACATTGTTTATTCTGGATGCTGTTTTGAAATTGGAATATTTTGAACTTTGTGTTAAATTGGCCAAATTACCAATTTCCGATCACTTTAATTTTGTAGTTGCAACAGTTGACTTGGCGATTTCTTGTGCTCAATCGATAGAATAGAAGTAATACTATGAAATAGATAAATTTGGTCAACTGGAATGATGTAAATTTGGGCCCAAATGGGAGTCAAAGTCGGCAAAATCGCCGATTCGTAAATATCGCTGACACATGAAAATTCGCGAGAGCATAATTTCGTCAATTTTCCATCAAATTCGGAACTTTTTTGTTTTATTACCTTCACAAATAGATTCTCTACCATTTCATAAGAAAAAATAAAAACTTTTTTTTGGAAAATTCTTGGACACTGGGCACCACTTAAATTTTTGGCCCTTTGGGCCCCTGGGGGGGTTTTAAAAGGTAAGTGTCAATTATTCTTTTCGTTATTATTGCTATTTATTTTTATTGTTGTTGAAATTTTTATTCATTGCTTTAAACTTAATTTTTTCATTGGAAAAAGATTTTTTTCATTTTTTTGGGGGTGCCTTGCACGATAATTTTGTTTTCCAATTTTTCTTAGGGGGAAAATTGTTTCCTTTCCGATTTTGGGTTTACGATGACTCCGGAAAGGGTTTAGATCGCAACCGGGGCCCTTACACGGAAATTTGCTAAAAAACAGGCTCAACGGGGGCAAAATCCGATGCATAAACATCGTCGAGCCCTTAACTTCCCTGAAGCAAGTTTTTTACAAAGGGAATTGACCCAAAAAAGGGCTCAAAATGGGGGAAATTGCCCGATGCAATATCGCCGTGACCGCAACTTTTGTGAGAGCGAATCCTATCATTTTAAAGAAAAAATATATGTATCGTATAAATTTTTAAATCCTTTACACAAAAGCAAGTTTGAAGAAGAGGGCTCAACACCAAAGGGAAGGAAAGTGGAGACACGATCACAATGAAACAAGGGGCTTCAGAAGGTAGGGGGGTGTGTTTTCATCAAAGATCAATAACAAAATTTAAAAAGAAGGGAAGTAGTTGTTGCTTTTAGGATTTTGTAAAGGCTTATATGGGTGAATAGTGCAGCAATGTGGGAATGTCACATGTGATGGAATAGGTATAAATTAACCAAACCTATCATGGGCGGGATTTGAGCCCCCCGGTCAAGAGTCTCAAAATTCCGACTCGCTATGGTTTGTTTTCAATCGGTCTTTTTATTTCGGAGTCAGGTACTAAGTTACTAAATGCTGTAAAGTGTTTTTATAGGGAAATAGGGTCAGGTTTGGAAATGTAGGGAGTGAAGTTTTTCTTTTAGAAACAATCATGGTTGTTTAAACCCCTTTTAGAGGTCGAACTCGCCCAAACTTCCCCAGGGTCGAAGAATTTAAAAAAAAAATTATTTTTCTTTTGAAATGATTGATAATCTTTTCTGAAGGTAATGAAACCAAAAGCATGAAAATTGATGGAAACCTTAAGAAATTATGCTACTGCAAAGTTAGCAGTTTCGGTAATATTTACACATCATCAATTTTGCTCAATTTGACCCCTATTTTGGGCCAATTCCATTGTTCCAGTCAACCAAACACATAGCTACTTAGCTATAACTCCTCTTATTCTATCGACTGAGTACAAGAAACTGCCCATTTACCTATTTCAACTACCCAATCAAGTGATCAGAAATTACAAATTTGGCCAATTTTATAAAAATTCAAGAAAGGCCAACTTCAAAATAGGGTCCAGAATAAATAATGCAGACATTCCTGGAACTAAAATAACATTTTCTCTGTTCATCAGTCAAGTCTCCAGGCCCCTCTTATATTACACCTGCTTTTCATTTTGAATTTTTAGTCACACAAAAAATAGAAGATTTACTGTTATTCAGACTACTGCATAATAGTAATAATTGCATAAATAATGTTTATGCATTTGTGAGTGCATATTAGACCAGCCAGCTGACATGCACTGGACATGTGATGTGATTTGTTTACACTTGAACATTGGTAAAAATCGAACATTTCCGCTACTCTGAGCTCAATTTAGAGCTACTTTTAGTCTATAAAGCATTCAAAATCATCTCTATTTCTGTAACATATCTTCCATTGTATACAATGAGGCCAAGAAACCAAGAATACGTATAACTATAAAAACTATATGAAAATACAGTGGACCCCCGCTTAACGATCACCTCCAAATGCGACCAATTATGTAAGTGTATTTATGTAAGTGCGTTTGTATGTGTATGTTTGGGGGTCTGAAATGGACTAATCTACTTCACAATATTCCTTATGGGAAAAAATTCGGTCAGTACTGGCACCTGAACATACTACTGGAATGAAAAAAGTTCGTTAACCGGGGGTCCACTGTACACCGCAGTCACTGTTTTACACCAAAAACTTTCTCCCACAAGATGGGAAGCTGCTAGAATTTTGGCGTAGAATTACGGGACCAACCCTGGTGTCAAAGGTATAATATTATGTGACTGACCTTGAAAGGGTTAACATATTTATAGATAAGGTTGTAAAAGAAGTAAATACTAGGGTGTTGGGGAGAATGGTGGGAATAAATTATGCAGAATCAAATACAAAATGGGAGTTCCCACAGTTACTTTTGCTGATGATACTGTGCTTTTGGGAGATTCTGCAGATAAGTTGCAAAGGTTAGTGGATGTGTTTGGGAGGGTGTACAGAGTGAACAGAGATAAGAGTAAGATGAGAGTATCAAATGAGTTAAATAAGGAAAAATTGGAGGGAAGAAGTATGGAAGAAGTGAATGTGTTCAGATGTTTGGGAGTAGATTTGTTGGTGGATGGGTATATGAAGGACAAGGTAAACCACAGAACTGATGAAGGGAAAAAGATGAGTGGTGCACTGAGGTATCTCTGGAGACAAAAGAATGTTATGCATGAAGGCAAAGGGAATGTATGAGAGTACAGTGGTACCAACACTCTTATACAGGTGCGAAGCACGGATTGTGAATGTTTCAGCAAGGAGGAGGATGGAGGCAGTGAAGATGCCTTGTCTGAGGGCAATGTGTGACTTAAATATCATGCAGAGAATTTGTAGTGTGGAAATTAGAACAAGGTCCGGAATTAATAAGAATTATGCAAAGGACTGAGGAAGGGCTGTTGAGGCAGTTTGGCCATTTAGAAAGGATGGAGCAAAATAGTATGACTTGGAGAGAGTATAAATCAGTAATGGAGAGATGGCAGGGTAGGGGAAGGTCATCCTAGGAAAAGATGGAAGGGGGAGGGTGTGCAAGGGGCTTGGACATACAGCAGGCATGTGTGAGCATGTTAGACAGGAGTAGAGACAAATGGTTTTTGGGACTTGACAAGCTGTTGGAGTGTGAGCAGGGTAATATCCTTTTAACCCTTTCAGGGTCCAAGGCCCAAATCTGGAGTCATGCACCAGTGTCCAAGAATTTTCAAAAAAAAAATTTGTTATTTTTTCTTATGAAATCGTAGAGAATCTTTTTGTGAAGGTAATAAAACAAAAAGTACGATATTTGGTGGAAAATTGACGAAATTATGCTCTCGCGAATTTTGATGTGTCAGTGATATTTACGAATCGGCGATTTTGCCGACTTTGACTCCCATTTTAGGCCAATTACATTATTCCATCAACCAAATTCTTAGCTATTTCACTAGTATTACTTCTATTCTATCGATTGAGTACAAGAAATCGCCAAGTCAACTGTTTCAACTACAAAATAAAGTGATCGGAAATTGTTAATTTGGCCAATTTAACACAAAGTTCAAAATATTCCAATTTCAAAATAGGGTCCAGAATGAACAATGTAGGCATTCCTGGCACTAAACTAACATTTCCTCTGTTCATTAGTTATGTTTTGAGGCTTTACAAATTAATTCCATTTTGATTTTTTATTCACATAATGAATTTTTATTCACACCAAAAAATAGAAGATTTACTGTTATGCAATACTGTAATAATTGTATAAATATCATCACCATATTTGTGAATGTATATTAGACCCACCAGCTGACGTGTATTAGACGTGTGAGGTTGCTTGTTTACTCTTGAATATCGGCAAAAATTTAACATTTCCGCTACTTTGAGCTCAGTTTCAAGCCATTTCCAATGCTAAAAGCAATCAAAATCATCTCTATTTCTGTAATATGTCTTCCATTCTATCAAATGAGACCAAGAAATCGCAAATACAACTATAAAAAACATACGAAAAAACACTGCAAAGTTGCTGTTTTAATCGAAAAATCATGATTTCATTTTTTTTCTCTCATTATACACAGTGTGCTGCAGGATCTGTTTTATGTGGTGCACACATACCACATAGATGTATTCTCTCATATCTAGGCCAAAATGTACCACTCACAGTTTATCAGAGTGAGCTGAGCTCATGGCGTAGATCTACGGTTTGGACCCTGAACGTAAAGCCGTAGATCTACGGGACGGACCCTGAAAGGGTTAAGGGACTAAGGGAAACTAGTTAGCCAGACTTGAGTCCTGGAAGTGGGAAGTACAGTGCCTGCATTCTAAAAGGAGGGATTTGGGATATTTGCTGTTTAGAGTGATATCTAAATTGTCATGATAGTGTGAACAATAGTGAAAGTGTTTCTTTCTCCGGTCAATCTGCCTCAGTGAGAGACAGCATGCGTGTCAAGAAAAAAAAAAAAATGACCCAAATAACTTTTACCTGGACCTGTGATCTCTAAAATCCACCACTTTCAAATTAGTATTTTTGGGAACTGATCCACTTTGGAGGAGAGAAAAAAAAAAAAAGCTTGCCCATCTAATGCACACAATGAGGAAATACAGTATGTACTACACTACCAAAAAGCTTTAAAAATAAATATGATAACTATACATACCTTTCCAGATTGCTTCAGTCTATCATCCCACGGGGAACGAAGCAATTTTTCTATTTTTTCTTTAACTCTCGACTCTTTAGGATCGCATCTCTGAGGAGAGTCAGGAGCTTCTGCTTCAACTTCTTGCATGGGAGCCTCATAGCGCCGCAACAAGCGCTTAGGGGGTCTCCCAACCTGACCTTTAGAAACACCCGTTATGGAAGCTGTATAAAGAGATATAGTTCGACGCATACGATCACGCCCCACACCTTCTGTCCCAGATAAAGAGTTCTTGCTCTGTGCACGTGAGCGAGGTAGAGACAGGAACTGTGTGTGAGAACCACGACCTTTGCGAGTCAGCTTAACAAGTCTCTTGCTTGGAACACTTACACTATCCTCTCCTGTTTCAGTACTCGTATCAGCCATTAATGAGCTACTCGTAGAACACATTTCTGTAATGTCTGCAAACAATCTTTTATTGGGTTTTATAATTCTTGATGATCTCACACTCATAGTCGGCAATATAAACCGTTTTGGACTTTTCTCTCCAACCACTGGAAGAGACGGCATTTTCTTTTTTGCCTTTGCTAACAACTTCTTTGCTAAAGCAGTTTTTACTGTTGGCGGTCTACTTATTCTATGATTGGTTTGTTTACGTGTCACATGGCTTGTGGCTGAAACCACTACAGTGTTTTTTTCCTCTAAAAACTGATCACTTTCTAAGGATGAGGATGATGGTGGGGCTGCAACTACTGCTTTATTATCACTCGCAGGTTCCACATATCCTAAGACTTTTTCTGTTCTTTCCACTCCACTTATATGTAAATCTTTCTTTTTTTCTGAAGATACACTTAATTCTTTCACTGTCATTTGTACAACACTTGTTCTCCCTCGAGTCACTAAACCCTCTTTTTCAAAGATTGCACAAGCCTCCTCCACTTTCTGTGCCGACCTCTTCCCTGCCTTGCGCACAGGCAATTCAAGCATTGTTGTGCTTGCTGTTTTGACCTCACTCGTTCCTGCTTGACATGACAGAAAACCATCAAAGCCATCTTCATCCTGAAAAAAGAACATAAGTATTAAAATCTCCGTGAAGAATCAACCTTAGAAATTTCAATCATTCTCAGTGTTAAAGGTACATAAAGGAGTGCTCTAAATATTTTTGCTTAAAGTACTCCAGTTACTTATAGCAAGAAACAAGAATGATAAAAAAAGGAAAAATTTGCCTAATCATATGCATTCTATACTGTACTGACTAACAGTTTTTTCAGAAGAAAATACAAGAAGTGAATACTGGATTGAAAAAATCGTGCCCATAATGAATTTTACTAAAAGGAAAATAGTTCTTTCACTGTACAGGGCAGGAGAAGCGTACTGCCTCATACAACTTTAAAAAATAATCAATCGGGAGCATTTAAAAGGATCAAACGGACCCCAAAAACCTATTACAGTAAGGCCCCCCCTTTACGGCTTTCCACAAATATGGCAATTCAAATTATGACCAAAATTTGCTATACAGCAAGCGTCTTTCAAATACGGCGCCCCCACCCGGTTTGTTTACATCTTCCTGACCACACATTTTTATGTCAGGAACTTCCAAAATTTAAAGTTTTTAAAGTTACGCTTTTTTTATACTACTCTGAAAATTACACTTATTGTACCTGTACCAAATATATTTAAACCAGGTGGTGGCAGGTAACAAAAATCGAAAGAGTTCTCTTTTAGACCCCAAACTACTTTATAATAATCATTTTGGGGGGGGGGCACCCTAATGTCATTTTACATCAATATAGGCATTTTCTTAATCCATTAGAATTTTCCTCAAAATTTTTATATGAAACCCATTAATGAATAAAATTGATTAAAATATAGATTTGTTTTACAAAGCCGCTGTGTAGTGTTCGGAAGAATTAGTTTTCTCTAGCATACTGGGGGGAAACCGTTAAAAAAATTTTTTTCGTATGCCTTTATCTATATACAGCAATTCCGACCCTTGTGGGTTTATGCTTTTTATTTAAAAAAATAATATTTTTATTTTTATTAAAAAGATTTATTTTATTTTTATTCATCATCTTCAGTCCCCTTAAAATGGTGTGTTGCTGTTGTTTTTTTTGCTAACTTGTCAATTGTACCAATGTAAGGTATTTTTTATTGTGAGGGAATTTTTATAATAAAAAAAATAATGAGGTAAATGTTTTATAAACTCTTACAAACGTTTGTAATAACTAAAAGTAGACCAAAATTTAAAACGCATTTTTTCGCCTGACCAAGTGATCGCCCCCTACCTGTTCAGTTTTTTGTTTCTTCATGCTCAAATCGTATTCGTTCTCTCTCTGTTTACTCTTTCATTAACAGTTGGTTTCACTGCGAGGGTCTAAGGTTAGCTGTGATAAAAAGGGTATTTCGAAACCCTCTTAAAGTTTTAAGTCCAAGTTAGGGATGAGCTGTCCCATTCATTTTTTTCAATAAACACCCTGCCACTCCCCCTCTCACACTTAATATTAATTTTTAAGTAAGTAATAATTTTTACTCTGTTGTACTTCCTTTTTATTGTGTTTTAATGCCTATTTCTATTGCTAATTTAATATAAGTTATGAAAAATTGTTTCTGGCATTTATTGCTTTTTTATGTTGCCTGATAATAATTTGTGGAGCTGTTGGTACCCGGGGTGGGGGACAACTTTAAACGTTTTCCTGCTCCCATCAGAAAAAAGTGTATAATCTTTTTGGCCCACCACCCCCCACTCCGTTTTTGTTAAAATTTTTTGGGCTGAATTATCTTTACTTTCCCTTCGTTTATGATGGCATCAAAAGGTATTTGTTAGAAATTTTTAAATTCATGAACAAGGCTTCAATGTAATAATAGGCCTGGCCACAGTGTAGGAAGCCGTTGTTAGCCCAGGCAAACCTACCGGGAACCTACATGACTTCTACAATAAAACTACTCACCCTCTTCCTTTTTAAGACTCACATATTTTTAAAATAAATAAGGTGTAGTATTTATTTTACCTCTCTGGGGTGTTTTAAAAATCGTATATTAAGTATGAGACGGGGACCGTGCTACCACACCCCGGGGTACCTGCACCTGACTTCCTACAAATAAGTATACTCACCCCTCTCCCTACACTAAGATTACAAAACTTAAGATAATAACAATTTTTGAATGTATTTTAGTGTTTTTTAACCCCTTGAGGGTCGACAGGCCCCTCTAAAACTTTCACAGGGGGGCCCAAAATTTTAAAAAAAAAAAAAAAATTATTTTCCTTATAAAAAAGAAGAAATTTTTTTCCCATCATAAAACACCAAAATTTGAAATTTGTAGAAAAAACTTACGGAAAAGCTCCGAAAGTTGCGGTTCGGGATGTTTACGCATCGGGATTTTGCCCACTTTGAGCCCCTTTTTTCGGCCAATTTCACTGACATCGAAAAAAACATGAAATTTCGCTAGAACTCCATTTTTTCTATCGAATGTGCAAAAACCCTCATTTAAAAATCAACTATCCGTACAGTGGTCAGAATTTGCATTTTCCCTTTCCAAAAATTTTCAAAAGATCCAAAAAATTTCCAAATAGGTCCAAAATAAACAAGAAAGACATTCCTGGCACAAAAAGGACATTTCCCCTTATCATTAGTACGTCTAAAGGGCCCCCCTTTTAATTCTTTTGCTTTCCATTTTTAAATTTTTTATTTTCAAAAAATATAAATTTATTTTGCAACTACTGCATTAGTGTAAAAAATGGAAAAAAATTTTTGGTGCATTGGAAAAATATTAGACTCACCATTTGACGTGTATGCACGCTTGGCCGATTTTTTTACTTTTGAAGTTTGGTAAAAATCGAACATTTGCTACTTTAGCTCAAAATTTTAAGGGGACCTTTCATTGTAAAACCAGTCAAAATCATTCAATTTTTTGTAATATGTCTTCCTTCTATAAATGAACCCAAAAAAACTAGATACAACAATAAATTCCCTACGAAATACACTGCAAAGTCGTGATTTATTTAAAAAAAAAAGGTCAAAGTTTTTTTTTTTTCATTTTGCACTGTTCGCGGATTTTTTTTAGACTTGACACGCCACATAGACCCCTTCCCCAAGAAGGCCCCGCTTTTTTCCACTAATTTTAGCCCAGAAATTTTTGAGTACTATACTCAAAAAAACCCCACCGAAGACTACTAGTCGACAAAAACCCTCAAGGGTTAATGCCTGTTCTATTTCTAACCAAATAAAATTTTTTAAAAATTGTTGTCTGGTTTTTATATGCTTTAAAAAATGGAAAAAAGGGGCGTTTCCCTTTCCCGGGCGACAGCCTGGAACCTAACCGCCGAAAAGGGGGGCCCTAGTATTACTTTTTTTACGGGGAAAAAATACAAACAAAAATAAAGAAAAATTTTTTTTTTACTTCATTCCAAAAAACTTTGTGAATTTTAGAGAAGGGAAGGAAAAACCACTCACGGGGCTGAAAAAAAGTTCTATTAGGATTTGTCTTTGAAAGGGTTTTTTTACCTAATACAGAACAGATGCTATTAAAAAAGCTGTACGATTTTTTTCCTTGGCTTTTACTTTTACAACAAAAAAATGTAAGATTTCAATTTGTACTTATAAAAGGGACTAAAAAATTTTCTGTCCATTTCTCAGATTTTTTATACCGTAGGCCCCACTTAATGGCGGGTTTAGGTTCCAGCTCCGTTAAAGTGGAAACCCCCTTTTTTTTACTTAAATGCACATACAGGGGAACCTTGACTCAGGGTTTTAATCCTTTCCCGTGACCAGCTTGTAACTAAATTTACTCGACTTGGAACCTCACAAATGAACATCCCATGCGAGTCGTTTTTTTTGTTTCCCAAAGGGCGAAAAAATTTTCCAGATGTGGCGGCCTCGGGGGAGGTTCCTTTGCCACTGGTGAATGGCCTTGCTTTTGTTTAGGGAATTGGTCTCATTTGGTTGAACTATCTTCTATACTTGGGCAATATATGAGGGAAAAGATGCTTAACTACCCCAAAACTAAAAGAATCTACTAAATAACAGAGCCACTTTTCGCTATTACGGGCCCTTAGGGGTATTTTTTTCATGTGGTTTTTAGGGTTTTTTTTCTTTTTTTTGGTCCAATTGATAGAAGGGAGAATTACAAAAAGATATATGATTTGATTGCTTTCAAACAAAAAGTACCTTAAAAATTGGCTCAAAGTACAAAATGATGGATTTTTGCCAAGTTCAAGAGTAAAAAAATGACCTCACGAGTGACCTTCCCAAATAAAGCATTCCAAGGGTTACATAATTTTAAATTACAATAAGCAGTTCTGATAACATAAACCCTATTTTTTTAAATAAAATTTCCCAAAATGGCAAACAAGAGTATTTTTAAATTAGAATATGTCTACTAAATAAATAATAAAAAATAAAATAATAATAAAAATAATAATATGTATATTTAATAATTTACAAAAAACACTTAATAAAAATTATTAAAGAATAAATGCAAAATAAAAAATACAAATTTTTTTTTTTTCAAAAAACCGGCTGTATCCTCCAAAGGGAAGGGTGGCCCAAAAAGAAAACGAAAGTTTCTCTTTTTAAATTTAGTAACTTATACGAAGGGTTACAGCCCTTGTCCGGATTTTAATCCCTCCTACAAAACGCATGGCTTAGGAGGGAAGAATTCTTTTCCACTTCCCATGGAACAGTAATTTAAAATAAGCAGCATAGTTGCCTGACCCCACTTGTGTATAGCTTACTGTGTATGATAGAATCCATATTTTTTAATACATGCCCCCTTTGCGGGGGCCTATGACTGTTTGTATGCGTCACGGGATGCGGCATGATGCGGGGGACACGCTACCTCGCCTCAGCCACGCATAGGTCTACCAGGCAACACACACGGGTTGGGCCCCCTTTTTCTCACTTTTCTACAATTATTTTTTCCATCCAACAAGTGTGTGTACCTTCAACCCCGTTACTCCTTCGAACCCCACGACAAATGGTGCCAGGGGAAAGGGCCTGAATTCGACGATTACAGCTTTTTGGGAGAAAATTTCTACGAGCCTTTGCCTTTGTGACCGGGCCTGCCGAGACGGGGAGCTCAACAATCCAAG